AGACTCTTTGTAAAGACAAACGGCATTACGTATTTATAAGCCAAAAGGAAAACTCCTCGACCCTCTTTCCGAGAAAGGAAACGAACGGAAAAAAAAAAGGAAAGCAAATACTGATGTGAAGAATAAAGAAGAGGAGGCTAAAGATACCAAGCCAAAGTTCTTCTAAAAAATCTTTATATCAAAACCTAACGTTCTGGACGCCAACTAGAAATCAAACTCGGGAACCAGTCGCTGTCGGCCCCTGGCTGGGGCCGCGCAGCCTGTCGGATAGTTTTTTTTTAATTTTTTTCCTTTAATTGCCAGTATAAAAAGTTCCACTGGTACAAAAGGCATAAGTACAATCAGTGATAGAAATAGGAAAGCCTGCTTTTTTTGTACTTTTTAAATTCCCATCCAATGACAGATTTTCAAAGTGTTGTCAAACAAACATGTATCGCGCTTACATAATCCACTGAAATGCATCGACTTTGGCTTTTCTCAAGACAATACTTAAAACTATTTAAATCTTTTTAGAATCAAACAAAATGATATTAATCTACAGACGACAAGCTTTTGTTACGGCACGTTAGATAAACACATACATTTCCAAAAAACTTGACATAAGCCAAAATGCAAAGAAACTACACATCGTTTTTTCTTTAAAATACACTTGTTAAATAGCACTTAAGAGAAAGAAAGAAACAAAAGAAACAACAAACAGATTTCAGACGCGTGTGGTGCGGAAAACCCCTGAGTGAAGAGTCTCAGCGAGAACTCCTTGTGAGTTTGTGCTTTACTAAACATCTAACAAATGTGTGTGTGGAATTGTGCTGGCCGTGAAAGCTTACCCTGTTTTGTCTGAAGCTGATTGTGACGAAGTGTGGTAAACGAAACAGAACACTGAGATGGAAATGAACAACTATCGATATTTCAGAAGCCCTGATACGGCACTGTGCTGAGGTAAAAACTGCGGTTCATTACAGAGTGATATTACATCAAGTCAAATGAATCAAAAATGAGGTCAAGCAAAGATGCATTCCATGAAAAATTTTGCATGATTATAATTTCTTATATGATCGGTCTTGCGGACAAAATTTTCAGCAACTTTCCGGGAGGGTTAAGTAGCAAGTCAATTGACTCGACTGCTGTACTGGATAAGCATAAAGAGTCGTCAGTTTTAATACTGCGCGTTAACGCTGTGCTAGTGCGCATGTGCTTTTGTGTTTGTGCTAGTGGTTATACGATTTGGCAAAGAGAACAGTATATCATAAACTGACCGACTCGAACTTCCCAATACGAAACTTAATCATTAAGGTGGAACTTATAGGAAAACATTTCCATTTTCTGGGCCTCTTTCATGAAAGACACGTAAAACGTATTTCTGTATAAACCATTCGTACGAAATTTTCTCGTGCGCAACAAAAGCCATTGGTCAGTTAACAGTTCAGTTTGGTTTTAAGACATTTGTTTTTTATGAACAACGCACAACTGCATGTGCAGAAAGTCTTGCGACAATTTACGTAAGAATTGTCATAGGTCACAATTCACGCAATTCAAAAGTCTTGTGCAAAAATGGACTTAAAATGGTTGCATGTAATTCACGCAAGACGCAGTTTATGTAATTTGTTACACATTTTAAGTTTACGCAAATTTACAGAAATTTGTTCTGCTTGTATGAAAGTTCAAATAAAAATAGTTACGAATGATTTAGGCAAATTTGTTCTTGTTTCATGAATGAGTCCCTTTTATTTTTCAACTGGCACAACGTTTGGCAGATCCAGTTTTGGCTAAAGATTAGAAATAACGTGGACGAATAGACAACGAACAACCGTTCATAGCACAGACACCCATCTGTACGCAGTCACACAAAACACACACACACACACACACACACACACACACACACACAACCTTGGCACACATTTTAAATGTGCAGCAATGTATTCCAGCCCATTAATACTGATCGACGTGTTAAGGCAACGGCAGAGCTTGGGTATAAAATAGTGCTATAGAGTGAAGTAAACTGCTTTTGAGGGGGCTGCCTGTAAACTACGTTTGTAAACAATATTTTTACGGGCCGTTCGAACGATGTGTAAACGTTTACAGCAAAGTGCTACAGGCGCTATCAAACACTGCGGATCACGCTGAACTACTTTGGCATCAGGACAGTTTTGGTTGTCCTACAAACGTAAAATAGTCCTGATAACGGCAGCAGAAAGCGAGACTACACTGAGACGTTTCGAGTTTAACGTTGAGGAACACCTATCAGCTGTTTCGTAATGATTATGTGGCTGTCATGATGGTCCTGTATTATATTATGATGGTCAAAAGTTCAATGCCTGATTCACAAAAATATGTCAATATTTTGTCCCATCACACATAAAATTGTTTACCGACAAACATGAAGTATCAGATGAATTTGTCCTGTCAAATTTGGGCCTTCTGTGGTGAATTGTGTGTAAGTGTGTGTGTATAAGGAGAACTGCTGAGACTCAATCTCAGGGGCTCAAATACACACACCGTCAAAGAAAAGAGGGTTGTGAGGTCAACCTTTAGCACAGGTGTGTGTATGCGTGCATGTGTGTGTGTGTGTGCTTACCTGTGAATGTATGTGTGTGTGTGTGTGTGTGTGTGTGTGCTTGTGAGAGCGATAATGACACATGGGCACTTTTTACATCTTTACAAATAAAGAAAAAAGAAAGAAAAGCAAAAACAGGAACAGTTTCAGGCAACAAGACCACAGAAGAGCAAGTTAACAACCTTTTTTTAAATCTATATCTTTAAATATGAGGGTTCCATACAAAACACTTACGTAATAAAATACCCATGTTATCAAATAATTTCACAAGTAAAACACTGAAGCTGTAGGCAGGATGTACCGTCAGAATTTGGCACTAAATTCCACTCATCTTGTTTTTTCTTTATAAGAAAAAAAAATCACATTTTGCTGAACAACATAACACATCTAAATATTGTTTCCCACAGTAGAAATAAAATAATATAATGACATAGATGCTTCACAAGCCGACACTGTAACTTTTAAGAATTTTTATATAGCTAATTACCCAACAAGAAATTTAGCAAAGAGGGACTCCTATCAAAAAAACGAAACAAAAATAAAGAACAAAAAACAAGGGAAAAAAACAAACAAACAAAACAAAAGAAATAGTAGTAGTAATAGTACTTATGAAAGGCTTTGTCTATTGTTCAAGTAAATTGATTTTTAGTCTTCTCTTTAAAAACATGAGACAAATAAGACTGTTAGACTTGATGAAACCACGACTTTATCCACGAAAAGCACCGACGGGACCGCGGGTTACACAAACTCTGTTTTTTTTCCTCTATACATTTAAACAGTATAAAATATAGGTCATTTCATGTGCATTTAAACCACGGATTGTCTAACTGTAAGTCAGTTCAGCAAAAGGTGTGACACGTAGGTAGCATTTCCCCCCAAACAGGGCAATCTTGTGTGTTTTTTTTAATACCTTTACTACTCTAGAAAAAAGTGGTTTTATATAGACTTTAATGAGAAATCAAGCCACTTAAAATGGCCTTATCAAAAAACTTTACACTGCCTGAAAAATGTAAAAACCACGAGCAAGCTCTGAGAGATTCTAATATCGATCAGACAGCTTTTTTTTTTTTTTTATTAAAACTGCGTGGAAGTAGTCTATTCGTTTAGAAACCAGCGTGGGTTTCTTACGGCAGGCCTCAAATTAAGAGTGTTGCCGACAGTAAGTCCCAACGCCAATCCCTGTATTGAACGTTCAAGTTTACTTTAAATGAATGAAAAACAAAAAACAACAACATAAAGAGAGAGAGAGAGAAACAAAAACAATCTGACAAATAAAAAAGAAACAAAAAAGTCAAACGCAAATATTTTGCCACAGGATTTTTTTTTCTTTTTATTTTTCTTTGTTTTCTTAAAATGATGCTCTGGTTATGTTAGTAAATATACTCTGTCTCTAGAGTGTGAATGCAGCGTTTTCACATTATTATTATTATTGTTTTGTTTTTTTTTCATCGTTCCTCCCTACCTTCCCTCCCTCGCTCCCTCCCTCACCAGTTAATCTAAACAAACAAACAAAACAAAAAAAGCTCAAAATGAGGTCACATGCGAAAAATTTTCCAAAAAGATCAGGCTAAGATCAAAGTACAAAGATCAGTAAAAGGAGACCAGATTATGAGCAGGAGAACTCAGAAAGACATCAGAAACAATGACGGGACGATGAGACGGGGTTTTTTTTGTACGCCACGTAGACATGCTAGGCAAAAATGCTTTATTCTTTTTAACCATCGACAGATCAAAATCTTTTTTAATGCTCTACACAAATTCTGTTGGACAAAGACCACAATCATTTGACGCATAAAATTCGGACTTATTTTTTTCCCTAAATAACAAACAAACAAAAAAAACAAACAACAATAACAAAAAACCCTTACTGACAAAAAATTACTGAAAAAAGAAAAGAAAAAAAAAATCACTGAACATTTGACGGCAAGTATTTGTTGAGGAAGCTGTTTAGGCAGTTGTTGCCGTTGACTACAGAGAGGCCACAGCGGGTTTAACCCTTTCCTCTCTAGTGCCAGTGGGCCAAGGGTTCGAAGGAGCAGCAAAGCCCTGAACCGACACCAGAGGCCAAAGGGCAAAGGTTAATGTGCATATTGGTGCTTTAATCATATTGGAACCTTCTCTACTTGTCCTTACAAGCCTCAGGTTCACAAAGAGAAAAAAATAATACTTCATACATCGTTTCTTTCTGCTGTTGCTATCATCATAGAATGAAATAGCCATTGTATAAATATTTACTTTAAAAAAAATCAAATAGTTTACACATGACTCAAACGAAAAAAAAAAATTTGACCAATAATAGCTGTTCATCCATCGCAAGTCATACAAAAAAATGGCGGAAATGGAAGCGATCATGTGGAAAAAAAAGAGACAAAATAATACTGTTATTAATTAAAAAAAGCTGAAAAGAAGGTTATGGGACAGTGGCGCACCCCCTCCCCCCAGTTTGGTAACCGTGGCAGCAGTGGGGACTTACCCTAGCAGTGTAACATGAGAGAGGCCCTAGTGCTAAGATCAGTACGGTTTGCTGTCGTTCTTCGAGCGCTTGAGCTGGACTTTGAGACGCTTCATGCCGATTTGAAACCCGTTCATCGCCTGAATGGCGGCCTGCGCTGACACAGGATTGTCATAACTGACGAAACCTACGATAGAGGAAAAGGAGAAAGGGATATAGAAAGAGCACAATGTCTTTTGACTGTAATCAAGTCATATTTGGCGGTAAAACACAAAATGCAAAAACTAAATGACAGTATGAAATACAGCATAAAACTGTATTTAGAAACATAGCATTACAGACTAAGCGTGAACAAAATTTTATTTCAGTTTTGCAAAGCAACAATTGTTGTAGTCTAATGACTAGTTTAATGTCAAATTAAATGCTGTAAGCCATAAGCAAATAACTGTTACTGGTATATTCTGTCTTGTCTTTCCCAGGAGTGTTTGTATGTCAGTTCATACCGAAGCACTTGCTCAGATTGGTCTGTTTGTCGATAAAGACTTTGGCAGACACCACGTTTCCGAAAGGCATGAACATCTGTAGGATGTCCTGGTCCCCAAACTCCTGTGGCAGGTGGTAGATGAACAGGTTGGCTCCTTCAGGTCCTGTTCCACACACACAAAATGTACACGTGTCCACGTTTAGTGAAGTTACATTGGCATTTAGTCTTTCAGCAGATGCTTTTATCCGAAGTGACTTACAAATGAGGACAATAGAAGCAATCAAAACCAACAAAAGAGCAATAATATGTAAGTGCTGTGACAAGTCTCGGTTAGTCTAACACAGTACATGTGGCAAGCTTTTCTTATTTTTATTATTATTATTATTTTATTTTTTTTATAATAAATGAAAAGAAAACAAGTAGACAGGATAGAAAAGGAATAGAGAACACTAGTGTTAGAATGTCATTTATTTTTTTATAAATATAAAGAAAAGTCGAAATAACAGAAAAAGAACAGAGAACGTCTCGGTTACGTATGTAACCCTCGTTCCCTGAAGGAGGGAACGGAGACGTCACGTCAGTGACCGACAAATTGGGATCTCGCTTCGAGAGACCAATCTACTTAGAGTGTAACCTTTCAGTCGGTCACTCTCGACGTCACGTCGGTGACCGACGAATTGGGATCTCGCTTCGAGAGACCTATCTACTTCGAGTGTAAACTAAACGAACCAATGGTCATTGGAATGCGATAATTGCATCCAGCTGCCGCTGATCACAGCGTGAGCATAAAAAGGCAGCCAATGCAACGCATACCAAGTTTTCGCTGAGGAGCCGAACCGGTGACCCGGCCGCTTAGCGGTGGTACAGCAGCCGTGGCAACGGGACGTGACATCTCCGTTCCCTCCTTCAGGGAACGAGGGTTACATACGTAACAGAGACGTTCCCTTTCAGTCGGTCACTCTCGACGTCACGTCAAGGATTTAACCTTCTCGCCCCCCTAAGGAACCCGATGATGCTTCCCTACCGACTTCCCCACCACGGTGTCATGGTGAGCAGCAATCGCAGTGGCATAGACTTTAAGGGTGGAGGGAGACAGCCTTCGCTCCAACCCCTGCTGCAAAAAGGAAAGCACGACCCTGAGGCGACGGGACGTGATGTCTCCGTTCCCTCCTTCAGGGAACGAGGGTTACCATATGTAACAGAGACGTTCCCTTTCAGTCGGTCACTCTCGACGTCACGTCAAGGATTTAACCTTCTCGCCCCCCTAAGGAACCCGATGATGCTTCCCTACCGACTTCCCCACCACGGTGTCATGGTGAGCAGCAATCGCAGTGGCATAGACTTTAAGGGTGGAGGGAGACAGCCTTCACTCCAACCCCTGCTGCAAAAAGGAAAGCACGACCCTGATCGGCGAGAAGACCACCACTTGACGAACAGGTTCCACTTCAAGGCGTAAGCGTGTCTCGTAGACAGTGCTCGCGCCGAAGTGATGGTGTCAGCTACCTGCTGGGGTAAGTCACCTAGAACCTCCGCATCCCGTCCAGGGACCAGAAA